ACTATTTTTTTATAAACAACATTTTTCAAATTTTGGCAGCCCGAAAATTACCAAAAATTTATTATCACAATTATTGATTCCACCGATTTTTTTTATTTAATTCCCAAAAATTTAGACTTATATAAATACTCAAATATCAAGGCCACCAGTTTAACTGTACCATTTTGCATCCTAATAAAAGCAGTTTGAAGCCAGTGGCTGCACAGGTGAAATATAAATAAAAACTACTACACTTTCAAATGCATTAAGACACACACTAACATATAGTTGTGTATGTGTGTAACCACACTAAAATAACGGCACTTTGCGCGGCAATGCTGGTCATACCGTTATTGCTCGCCACGACGCAGCCATTTTTATGCAATTTCTACTCTCAAGTCAGCGCAAACACACACGCACACACACACACACTTTAACATACTGACTTTTTTACCTAAATGGGTTTTTACGAGTACATACATACATACACCTAACGGTCTGTATCCGCAGCCTCTTATATGTGGGCCATGTCGATCTTTTTGTGTTAAACACATAATACAGCAACAATGCTCGCTTTGTGCCAGCGTGTATAGCCCACTTACACTTGTATGTGTATTTAGTTGTTATGAAGTTGGCTGTAAGTAGGCCACGCAACTCTTGTTAAAAGGTGCTTTTTCTAAATGCACTGTGCGCATACCAATGTGAGCTTGTTTTTCTACTAACATCTAAATGGTGCATGAGGTTGTGTGTGTGTACGAGTGCGTGTTTAAAATATCTAACAGTTTTACCTTGCGCTTAAGTTGTGCCGTCATTACCTAAATGCTCGTTATGTAAAATGTTTAAAATTTTTGTAGTAAATGAAAGTTGATTTGTGTATTTTTGCAAAATATTTAGTCACAAGCGCTCAATTTAAGCATAAAATTTCAAATATTGAGGTCATTTTAAGTATAGTGATGAAGTTTCGCACGCGCTCTAGCACTACTCCGTCTTGGTCAAGCAGTGAAATGCTGGTTCATTGCATATTTTGCTCCATACTTTCCTCTATAACTGTTATTTACTCAAACGCACTACTTTAAGCGCGCATCAATTTTGCCTTAGTGTGTGTGTACAGTTTCACAATTTTAGGATATGTAGCCAAAAATTTAGCTCAGAACTTATTCTGCATGCTTAATTTTATGCCAGATATTTAAAACAACAAGAACAGCAACAATGCAAAACGCTGTTTTAACCCCATTCATAAACTGTGCAAAACAGTTATGCTTGCCTAATGTGGGTGCTCCATACGTGGTATTGTGCACCGTTGTCTATGCCATAACAAATTGTATGATGAATGCTTCGTGCTTCAACGTTGCCACACAGCATACAAATATGGAAATATGGATGTGTTTGCGTGACTCTGTTATGGAATGCTAGCATTTTAGTATGTGTACTATCCCGGGAAGAAATTTATAAGGAAACAGAATACGGAATACGTTGACTGAAATTTAACAAGTCATAATTAAAGCTTTAGAAATATTAGAAACATTTTCTTGCGATTGAAAGATTATAATGAGAACCAAAATATACATTTTTTTAAATTGAGTCCTTGGGTTCCAAATTGTTGAGCAATATTAAATAATCTGCCGAATTAATATTATAGCAACTTACACCGGCCTACACTCATTTGGATGCCTCATATTTCGGAACTGATTTTGGTTACTTTTTGTGAGGATATACATAAATAACAGCGACATTTTACAAATCAGTTTTCTTGTAGACCAATGTTAATAATAATTAAATTTGACCTAGGCTGACACAACCAACAACATGTTCATATATTTAAACTAAAGTCTTTGTTATCGTCTTTAAAGTAATTTCCTGGGCAATACATACTTGCCGATGCCTAATCTAGTTTTCAAAAACTACTAATTGTTATATACGTCGACTAGTGTGGCCTACAAACCGCGTCTCGTCAACAGAATTGATGCGTTTGATTAAGCGGCACACCTAGTGTGACAGCCTACAAAAACATACATTTTTTAGAATTAAAAAAAAAAAAAACAATTTCATCGATTTTTTTTAAATTTTTCAGAGTGTATTTATACATATTTAAAGAACACGCAATGAAAGTTAAAAAAAGGAAATATTTTTTGATTTATACTAGATCTTCCACGGCACCATAAAAAGTGTTCCACTGCTGCAGAGATTCCGGTCTTTTCCGTGAATGAAACCTAAAAATAAAAAAAATCTCATAAAACAAGAAAATATCCTCCATTTAATGACCTGTTCAAAAATTGACATAATGACGCAGTTTAAGAAAAAATTGAGTTTAATCCCAAATTTTGGTCGTTTTAAGCTTGCCAAATTCGATATTTGTTCAGATCAAAAAACCGATAAATGTTGTTTCGAGTAAAACGCGTTTAAAATTAAACTGATCAAGCTGATTGAACTGAGCGGCTACACTTAAAATCACTGTAACTCAAAAACTAATCAAGAAATCGGTTTTAAATTTTAGTATGATATTTTTAAGGTTACCGCAAAAGGTTCAAGTCTTTTGATACGAGTCTATTATTGGCCTGATTCATACCCAAACTTAAACGAAAATGCGTTAAGTTGATCAATAAGAGATGTTGAAATTCTCAAATCTTCAAGCACTGTTTCCTAAACATTTTCAAAGTTAACGTTATTAAAAAGAACTGTAGACGACTCGCACGAGGCAAGTTTTCGATGATCTCACGACCTTCACTAAATGTTTTGTGCCGCTTGCTTTTGTGATGAGTCCTGAAAACAGTTCTGCAACATTTTAACGATTCTGTAGGCGTGATTCTACTTAAAACACAAAATTTCCAGCATGCTCATTGTTCGATTCATGGTCAAAATCGCTAGACAAGGTTGTACCAAAGAAGGAAACATTTTATATGTCAATTCGGTTTGCGAGCGCAGTTTAAAATGACAATTTCTTTGTTATACCAAAATCCCCAAAATTGGGTACGAGGGTCTATAAATTGTTAAAGCACATAAATTGTGTAACACAGACTTATTTAAATAACACGTTGAATTAAAATTACCAAACATTTTATTTTGTTTAACTTTCGTTATATCTTCTTCGCAGAAATTTTCCAAGTGGGTATCCTCTTCTCGTCGCACATTAATGTTTATGACTTTAATTCGCTTATGGGTGTGTGCATATGAAAACTGTGTCAAATAAATATTTTACTCTATTCCTTGTTTTATGTTGCGAAATTCGTTTTTATATTCTGTAATTTTGTTTTGTTGCTTAATATACCAAACACATGTAAGCATCTGCCATTATCCGTGGAGTATTATTTTTCCGCTCGCTTCTGTTGATAATTTAAAAAAAAAAGAAGAACACTACATGTATATTAAATTTATTTTGTTATAAAGCTGCTGTTTGTCATTCGAAAGGTGTTTGTGGACAAATAAACGTAAACTACATTACCGTTTAAAAGTATGTACTATATATATTATTGTATATTTATATGTGGGCGTAACACGAAAAACAGTAGGACATGCAAAAAAGCATTATTTCATTAAATTTACAAATACAAGAAAAAAATGGAAATTAAAAAAAAAATTGGAAAATTTAATCTGTAATTTTTATAGCGCTTTACACTTTATAATAATATTATCTAAATGTACATAAATCTACATGCATAATTTATTTTAAAAAACTCCCGCTACTTGATTACGCCAATAAACAAATATAAATTTGCAATTAAAATTTTCGCTCCGGCAACTATAGCAGTAGATTACAATAAAGAGCGGTTATAACATGCAACGCACTCCACTAGAAAATTTATGGAGAAATATGCGGTCCAAAAACAAAATAGCGAAAAAAAAAATTCAACAAAATTAATTTCAAAAAAAAATACTACGGAATATTGAAATTCCAAAAGATTTTTCAGAAATGCAAATATTCCATTAATTCGCGCAATGTAAGCGATGTAGCGTCGGTCGAATTCGTTTTTCAATTGTGTTAATTAACTGTAAAAAAAATATATTTTACTCCAAAAAAAACTGGCTGAGCTTGTATAAGGGCTAATCTATAAGCAATTCACACATTTCCAAATTAATTTAATGAAATGCCATTTGGAATAAGCCATAATTTCGACGCCCGCAGACACACGCAAAATGCGCTAATTCAATAAAATATTATATTTCCATTGTTTTACCAGCAATAACTACGAACTTACACACATACGCAAATCCGCATATAAACAGTTAATAATTATTTAGCAAAAGCAATTAAATTAACATAAATTTTTCGTTTTCTGGCTAATTTTACATAATCCATTAATTTTGTTTTGTTGCCCGCAAATGCCGCGATTCACAGAGGTTTGTATTAAAGTTAATAAGCTCGCAATTCACACACACACACAAATACAAACACATACTTGTGCATGCTTACATTTTCTGCGGTTAGCAGTTTAATCATTAGCTATACACTGGCCACTGCTAATTTATTGTTCAAATTTGTTGCGATTTGGCTTTCTGCGTGCATACAAAGGGTATGTTGGAGTATGCGTGCCTTTAAATGAACTATTATGTTGGTTTTGCGGCAACATTTGTTGATGTAAGATACTATTTGTGGTCACCAAAATCGCATAAAATTCTAGAAATGTTTTAAATTAAACCATTTTTTCAGATTTTGTTAACTAATATCAAATTCCGGGTTTATTATTAGTTGTACAGGGCGTATACGTTACCTGATGCAAGTTGTGTATTCGCAGCTCAGTTTGACTACTGTTATGCTATTATTTCAATTAAAATTATAGAATATTTTTATAAATAGACATTTTCTATTTCCTCTCATTATGTTTAAGTTTAGTTTATTTTAAAAGTAGGAAATTATTCCTTAAGTGTTTATGTATTAAAAGCGTACTAATTGCTTTTAGTTATAAAATAGTATGTATATATAAAATATTATTTAAAATGTTTTCTTACAATTTTTATAATTTATATTTTCTGTTCTATTATTTTCATTAAACTTATTTACCTGTTTTGTTGTAATTTTCCAATAGGACGACAGCTATAATGAAATCTTAGATGATGAGAGTGGCTCCGGTTTTATGGTATGTGGCTAGATTTTTGTAATTTATTTATTTATAAATTTTTATATTTTGCTTTATTTTTTTATATTTTTATTAATATTTTTTGCTAATTTCCTAATTTTATTTGTTTATTTCGCTTCTACTTTCATAATTCCCACATTTATTTTGTATGCCAGGAAGGTGCGAGCGATGATTACGACATTTTAGATGACTCATTCTGGAATGTGAGTATATATACGTGCACTGCTAGTGTATCATAATATTTTATTCTAAATTAAAACTAATTTTATTAAAAATGTAAATTTTTTAAATGAACTGAAATTCTATGAATATTCTCTTCGTATTTCTTAAATAATTTTTAATTGTTTCCTTAAGTGATGGAATGATTGTTTTATTGGACCTAATATATTCAAATAGCTGGAAACACCTGTCGCAAAAATTTTAGAAAGAAATTCTTTAGAAACCAGTTTAATTTGATGCCTAATTTCAATACAAATCTTAGATAAAGTGATGGCTTAAACTTTTAAGTTTGATGTCTGCCTTTTTACTTCTATTTTCTATTGACTTTAAAAAAAAAATTTTTAATAAAATTCCTAAAGCTTCAGCCACAAAAAACTCGATTAAATCTGCTTAATCTTTCATGCTTCTATTTTATGCCTTCATATATTTATTGAATTTTTTTATTTTTTATATTATTAAACAATTGACAAGAATTATTGAGTTAAAATGGCAACCCTACCGAAACATATTTTAATTACATATAATTTCTATTAAATTTTCTGAGTTTTTTACGCATATTTTAAAAATTGGTTTATTTAATAAATAGCATTGCCGCAGAATTACAGAATAGGTGGCAACATTCTCAAATATTTACAACCTTAAGCTTTTCAATTTCTGAAAATATTTAAACATCCCTTTTCAAATATATTTTCAATTATAAGCTGCCGAAACTTCCTCATTTTGATACAATTAATTTGGCTTTTCTTGAGCTTTATTTTTTCTTGCCAAAAAATTTGCAACCAGATGGCAGCCCCTGAAGATGCCATTTGCAAAAATCAAAATTTAGAATATCAAGTGATTTCTAATCGATGTATATAGTATGCGATTCTAGTAAATTGTAAAATATTTTTGATTATATTCACATTAGCATTGCAGTACAGCAAAACTCTAAATCTATTCTATCTATATTCTCTCTCACAACAAAAGTTAACTGACATTTTTTGGCCAACTCAGTGAACTTCAGCCTGTCACCTGCATGAGTACGGTGTGCAACTGTGCCGAATTCTGAATTACAAACTAATTGCTACGCATGTTCTACGGAAATATGCCACTTGCTCTTATCTCTCTCGTTGCTTGAGTTTGTGCCTTTAAAGCGTTACATTTCGCAAAAACTGAAAAATCTGCACACATAACATATGTGTGTGTAAGACATGCGTGTATAAAAGTGAGGTGAGCCCATAGGGACGAAATAAATATGCGTTATTCCACCTGCCATAGAGCAGCTAGGCTAGTCGCATATGCCATGTTGCATGCTTATCACGATTTTCCAATCTAGACAATATTACGCATACAAATTGTCTAAATGTACAAATGTATATGTAGAGATGGACGTACATAACTGTAAATATACAATATATTTAGATAAGAATAAAGACTTTTCTCTATGAATGAGTAAGAAATTTGGAAATTCAATGCAAATATTTATTTTGTTCGACAGTAAAAGCACATTTAAGAAAAAATACCGAAATTTGATGGGTCTGAGGTAAGATATTTAAAAATGAAACTAATTTTTTAAAAACTAGGAAATATGTTGTGATGTTTTCCTAATGTTTTTGAAAAGCACAGAACACAATTTTGAGTTTCTTTATTTATTACTTGTAACTGTTAATTGTTCATTATTTCTTAAGCATTTAGCTATTATGTATAACTAAAGAACAGTTGCTTTAATCGCCAGACTTTTTCCAAATTAAGAAATAAAGGGTTTTGTTGCCCAAATAATAGTATCTGCACCGTTGAAGACTATACTTAATCATTAATAAACAAAGAAATTTTCATTTGGAATTAAACATCAAAACACTGTATCAATTACAATATTTTAAGAATATACAGTAAAACTAAACAAAAAATCCACGGCCTTCTCCGTGAATGGAACGTAAAAAAAAATATCTACTAGAAGATATTAACCACACTTAATGACGTAAGGGTGAGAAAGATCAAAAATTTACAAAATGGGGCCGTTTTTAAAGCATAGTCTGATTTTATCCAAAATATTACTCGTTTTGGCCTGTAAAAAATGATTTTCAACAGACAAAAAACTGGTACGTGATTTTATAGAGAACTTTATATTTACTTGTAAATAGAAAATACCTAAAAAAAATTATAGACTTCGCTACATTTGTGTTTTTTGGAAGGCTGTAATTCAAAAACTACTTGAAAACTCGATTTTTCTTTTAATTTTACACTAGTTGTGCTCCTTATCTTTCCTAATTTCAACAAACTGTTCCTAGAGGGCGGCTTACCAGTACAATTGTAAGGTTAACATGGGGTTCAGTGAATATTTTGTAATATTAAACGAGTACTTTTCATGAATATTAAGGTACAATATATAACAACTCAGTATATGTCTGGGGATGCAAAAAGTACAATATATACAGTATTGTGCAAAAAGAAAGCAAACAACATTCTAAGCAAACCTTTCTTAAAGATGCTTCATACGCTTACTTATTGATAATCAGGATCTGGTTGCTAAAAAAATGTTAAATATTAGTAATACGCTAATTGAAATTTAAAAAAATCGTTTCCAAATATAATCAATATAATATTTTTTTGACCTGTGCTGGTATAAAAATCTTTGACGGAGTCTATTTTCCAGAGAATGTAAGATCACATAAATTCGTAGCAACTTACGTCGAAGCAGGTTGGCTACATTCTTTTTTCTGGAAATTCCCATTTTGCTTCTTCTTTGGAGCAAATTTCTTATTTTTCCTTGCAATAATAAATTTTGATATCCCTACAAAATGTATATCCAATGACCGTTACTATATTTACTTCTCTTCTCACGACTCTCACTAAAAACTACGAGTTTTGTCAACTAAACTCATAAATTACTATTATTTTATTCTTTCTTTTTTCCCACACGAATATTAGTTACACACCATATTCATTTGTATATGCTATTATGAAAGCGACTACAAAAACAAAGCTTTTATATACATATATACATATATTTATACATTAGCTACTAAATACCGACTTATAGACTTATGACCACAACGTGTCTCAATGGTAAACAATTTTCACATACGCATATAACCACATTCCAGCACGTAAATAGATATATATACGAGTATGTATGTATTTGTTTGCGTATGAACCCCTATTCGATTTCCCATTTTGAACATCATGAGCGTCAGAGATAAAAAAGAATGAAGAATGCCCAAGAAGTGGGTGTATAACTGACCACGTTGGTCAATAACGCATACAAGTAATTTTATGCTTTTATGTAGACATGCATACCCAGCAATGAAAGCAAAAGGCTCCGAAGACTTTAACAACTAGTATGAACAACAAACGCAACTAGACGACAAAGTTGTTTCCCTCCATACCACCAATATGCTTTTCTGATGTTTTATTGTACTATTGGTTGTCAATTGTCAGAATTTGGTTAGAAAAATATCAGTTTCAGATTAGTTCTAAACAAGCTCATATGATATATAATGGTCTTGCTCAACTATTATATAGTTTCGAAAAATTATTTTAGCTCATTAATAAACAATTTGATTTTCATTAGTAATGTTTAAAATTCTCATTGAAGCTGTGGTATATTTTTGAACTTTTTATTAAAAATTTTAACAAATTTATCACAAATTATGAGTATATATATACATACTTGTATATACTATTTTTTCAGATAATTCAAGTGGTAAAGTGATCTTTTTTTAGCTACATTTAAGTTGCCTGACCGGGTACAAATGCTTGTATGCCTTGATGAGTATATATGTATGAGTGTAGAAGCTCGGTAAAATACTTGTTTGTAAATGCTTGTGGTTTCTTACATAACTGCCTGTAGGCGGACAGTAAGGCACGTGGAGTTTTCGCCATAATTTATGCATTTGCAAATAAGAATCATCGAAACTATCCGCTTTGGTACACATAACATTCCCCTTAAGTAGAGATAGGAGAATAATTACACGCTTATGTAGAACAACACAAAGGTCAGTAAAAGTTTAGAAATATTACAGGAGCATAAATGCTCATATGTCGAAGTAATATGTGAGTAAATATTGAAGAGTATTTTATAATTAAATTATTTTGGCTATCTTTTATGAGTGTTTCTAATAAACAGCCCGACAACTTTTCACCAAGAATTATCTTTTGTTATACATTGCCCTAAAATCTTCCTCTCAGTTGACGTACAAATTGCAACTTGAATACAACTTATCGGCAAGTAAGCCAAAATAATTTGCAAATTCCAGCACATTGAATAATTGAAATAAAACACTTTCAACATTTCGAAACTTCTTAAATGTGCGATTAAGTAGCTTAATAAATATTCCGGCCTTCCAAAGTCACCAAGAGCAGACCAAACTGACATTAATTCCCAAACTAATAAGCGTCGATTTGCAAGCAAACTTTTTCGACAGCAAAGACAGTAAATATTCATATATGTATATGGATGTGTGTAAATAAGTATGTCGAAAAAGACGCTAATCCTAGCAATTTCTATCACTTTTCCAAAGAATTAGTTTCGGAGTGATGACACGCACACGCATAAAAAGTGTTTCGAAACGTTGATTTCTCAGCAGAGTATCATATGTTGAAGTTAGAACCTGCTAAGCAGATAAAGAACAGACAATTACATGCATATATACATAGAATGTATAACTGAATATTTAGCGTCTACTCAAATTACAGTGATGCTGAGCGTGCTTTTATGTTAGCGAGAATACTAAGTAATATATGCAACCGTATATGTGTATATATAAGTATGTGCCTGTACAATGCTCGCCAGCTAAAGCTTGAATGCTGAAACTTATAAACATTTCACTTTGTGCTTGAATATTCTAATGTGCCTTTAAGCGTGTTATTCTTTAAAAGCGAAGTTTACTTAAAGAGAAAAATTCTACAAAAAATCAAAAAAGTAAATCAAGCATGTTTTGAATCTAAGAAGCAATAACCAATACACATACAAAAAGTTACCAATTCAAAAATTAATATGTGTATT